CACTTTTCCGTCCTGCGTCACGTATCGGAAAGCTGATGGCACCATGAGCGATTCTAGAATCTACTGAACCTTTCATATTCCTGTCATAGTCCCTTCGACTGAGGCGCTAATTTTGTCATACCCAGCAACTTTTCCACATAACATGATATAATTAATGTGATCCATCGTTGTTATATTCAGTCCCTTCGTGTCATTCCTTTATAATACTGGATAATCTTAAAAAGAAGTAACTTATATTCCCATCCTCGCTTAGCGTTTTGAACGTGATGAACCAAATCCCACGAAAAGGAAATAAAGTTTAAAAGAGAAGCAGTGATAAATAAAGTGTTGGGACATATGAAACAGCAGTAGTGCAGGAAGCCGATTACAGTGGGCATCGACGTGTTCCTCCGCACTCTTTTGTTCCGCGGAGCATCTGCTGCGTAGTTCCTTACATAACCAAACTTCCGGACCGAGCAGTTCATTCGGCGGAAGCTCATTCTCGGCTGCGCGCGCACAGTGTGCTGTTGCTGCCAAATGCCAGCTGCAACATTTCACAGTCCGCGCAGTTAACACGACATATCCTGGGGTTCTCACGGCGGTGAGGATGACATTGGGATTGTTCTGGCTTGTGACGCCGTGTAGACTGTTATGTTGATGCAAACGTTCCGGAAACATGATGTTCTATCTTCAGGGCTGAAGTCTACAAAGCGTCATAACCTAAACACCATCGTCAGAGTCGCATATAAGTAATCGAAGTAAACTTCTGTAGTTTATAGTGAAGTAATTATCATGTGGAGGAAGTAGTTACTCGTTTGAAGATGGATGTCTTCTGGGTTGTTGCGACGTGTTGTCTGGTAGACGTTTACCGACGTTTCAGAGGTCATACTGCCTCAATCATCGCTCAGATGATGGAGACAGCAAGGATCTCATGGTCCTGATGATGGAGGCAGTATGACCTCTGAAACGTCGGTAAACTTCTACCAGACTACACGGCGCAACAACCGAGAAGACATCCATCTTCAGACTCACCGCTGTTAAGACCTCAAATATTAATTACTCGTTTGTTATTAAAACCTTTTATTTTGGTGTGTTTCAGGTGAGATGTTCATCTGGATCGCTTCCACTGCCGTTGCGTTCGCCCTTCTACAAGAACGTACGTATTTAATTTTATGTACATAGAGACTGATCAAAAAGAGACGTAAGCCATTCCGGACACACGTCCTGTTTGTTAAAAAATAAATCATAATGGAATCAGAAAACAAGTAACTGTTATATTAAGTGTTGCAAATGTCCGTCGCGTTCAGCGACCTTTTTCTCGCGCCAATGCACACTTTTTGTGTCACGGAAACTGTTCACCAGACGAGACACTGTCGATTTGTTTTGTACACGAATATCGGTAAATGTGTATCTGAATTCATTCTAGTGTGTAAAGTAAGAACATGTGAATACGTTCTTTTCTTGTCATTTAAATTTCAACCGTTTTACCCTGGTAATATACCAGTCTAAATGGAGATGTTCAGAGGTTGTTATCATAGAATGTTGGTTTCTTTATCAACTTTTCGCTTTTCTTTCTCTTAATTTTTGGGGGGGATTAGGCCTTTTGACCTGTTTCAATTCATCATTAACTTCTGAACCTGCGAATCTTACAGACGTTCGATAGTACTGCTTGAATGAGAGTAACACCCGATATAAATATTTAAATGTTAATTATAGTAATATTTTAATATTTAATAGGAATTTTATTGTGATTAGACTGACAAGATTTAAACAAATATATATTTATCACAATATGACGCAACTTTATCATCTCAGGAAAATGTGTGTCTTCTAACTTCTATTTCAGTGATTATGTGGTTTAATAATAAAACCGCGGTCTAATTCTCGGCGCTAGTGCACACGAATTCTTGGTCCCTGATACCCATAACAAATGGTAGATTACGTTGTTTGTCCTTGTGATTATCAGGTAGTATTGCATTCAGAAGAGGCATAGAGCTAAAGAATGGCAGGATTTTGTAGACTAAAGTACACAGGTTCTTTCCTTTAGAATAAAAGACTAACTGTAGTCTCCTTTTTATCAGAGTACATTATAAAAAGTGTGTAATGTTTCTCGAGAAATCAGTTGTTTGACGTAATAAACCTAGCTGTCAGGCAGGATGAACTATTTCCGTTATATGCTTGATATAATTCATCTTATTTTTAAACTATTCATACAAAATTTAAACATGAAGTTCAAGTTGTTGAAGTTTAATTTTGTAGCAAGACACAGTGGAGCGTGGATGAAAGGAGCGGAACCGAGGGGTGACACGTGACAGCTGCTGATTGATCACTGCAATTGCTTATATTTAGTCTACACGTTGCTCCAAATTATTCTGTCTACCCAATTTAACGCTGAAGAATCAAGCTTTAAAATATGTATAGGTTCTTTCTCTGGCCCATGAGTAACCACGTCCGTTTCCAAGGCTCCCACGTTATTTAGGTTTGCAAATTAGAGATTTTGACAGTTTTATTAAATATACACGCACTGGCGATAGTGTCGTCAGTGAAACATCGACAATTACTCTATGAGCTCTCCTTATTTGATACAAGGTCAGTGGTAAATACGCGACCAACGACCACTGGGGTAACAATGTGATGATATCACCACGCGTGCGCAGAGGATCATGAGTAATGGCGTCAACATCGTACCACCTCACGACTTTAAACATCCGTCACGGTATTACTATCAATTGTTGGATGTTAATAATCACACATTTGAAATACTTTCTAATGGCAAAATCACAATACCAAATTTTATGTAAATCCGATAAGCCGCTCTCGAGACATAATATTTCATAGGATTACCGATAGATGACAGCTGTATCTCGACTCAAAGACGCGGCAGACAAACAGGTGGACATGATTTTCGATGTACTGAAAAGGAATTTATGTTGTGCCATCGTATAACTCTAACACCGTTGGACTGATTTCGACCAGACTGTATAATGGCGCATTTACAAAATGAAAACGTAGGTTTAGCAAAAGCACGAGTGCGCAGGAATTGTTACGCTAAGCACATGTCCGAGCGTATTTTTCTGTTGTTCTTTAAAATAGGATATATTGTTGCAATAATGGACAAGACATCATAATAGCGATGTCAAAATTAAAACGCGGGAGAAAATATTAAGTAATACTGATAATTTATGTTTCTCTAAATGTATTTAAATGTCATATGAAATGGTGCATATATTAATGCATGATTTAAATATTGGCTACGTCATGTGAATGACAATAGGATAACAGGACACAGAAAATGAAAGGCATTTGAAGAAAACAGTTATGATAAAGAGTTCAGTAAATTTCAGAGTGGTATCAAGTGTGTGATTAAAGTCGGCGAGCTGGAAGATTTAATTATGTGAATTGTAAACACGTTTTAAATATCACGCTGATTGGAAAATAATAGACGTTGAAGCAAATGATGTAAGGAGATCTTATTTAGAAGAAGCGTATTAGCCGTATTTGGAGCGCCCATTTCTACATTGTGTTTTGTGAATATGATTTACGACGTACGCACATTAAAACTAAATGTGCAATCTTTCGGGACCCTGTAGCTCTCGGCGCTTTCCTTTAGTACACTTTCGTTCGAATTTCGTCCTGCTGGCGTTCAGCTAGTGTTCCGCATTGCGCCGATATTAATTTTTCATTGCTAACCTCTGCCCGCAGCCAGCGAACGCCATGCCTTTCCTTGCTTTACTCCAATTACAAATACGGTTTGGACTGTACTGTGTTTCAGCTTGTAGAATTCCTCAGAATTAGATTGTACGCATACTTTATTTGGTACTGCAGTCATCTTTCTAAGCCGTTAACCGGAAAAGGTAACACAGCTCTGGAGTTGTAACAGCGACAGTGCGTTTGACTTCATCCGGGTGTTCCGGTTTTGAATCGCGTTATATAGATTATCCGCATTTGTTTTGTTTGGGTCCTGCAACCATTGAAATTTTGTTTGCTTCATCCGATCTATTAATTTTAAAAATTCTTCATCAAACCACGGTTTATTTTTCTTTTTTCCTGTAGTATCGTAGTTTCTTTTTTGTTGAAATTTTTATACATTTTCTGACATTTTCCCACTCCCTGTTGATATCCACACTTTAATTATCTTTATCTGTCTCTAAAATTTTAAATCTATTCGAAATTTCAACTTCATTTTGTTCTTTTACCTTTTTCTCCTTTATTTTATTTTTCAAATCAAATCGAGACAAACAAATTAATCCCTTTAGTCACACATGCCGTTTCTTTTACAACGAGCCATTTGTGAAAAGTCGAAGAAGTTCATTTTGGATTTCATGTGAAGCTGTAAAACCTAATCAGCTGTTGTGTGCGCGCGCCGCCACATGTGTGTGTGTTTCGCTTAGTTACGGACTTTCCGCTTGCAAAGGAATCAAGTAATAGTGTCTTAAGTCTGTGTAATACCAACCAGTCATTAATATAAGACTAGAGCAACGCGATCCTTTCGGAGCGCTTTCTCTAAAATAAAAAATCGATCATAAAGTCAGTTTTCGTAATCGTAATATATCGAATGAGTAGTATTTGTTAAATAGTTCTGATATTTTACTTCTTTACGTTCAGAGGCCAACTGTTCTTGGTCAGTCAACTTTCTACGTCCAACCCCACCCTTGCAAGTCTTTGTCTGTTTTGTTTTGTTTGTTTGTTTTTTTGCTCGTTTTTGAGAAGAACAATTAAGTTGTCTTTTAAGTTGCAGGTAAATTACACCTGGCGATGTGTCGAGTCATCTGTAAAACACAATTAAAAAGTTACTCTCAGTTTTATCCTATATTTTCTGTTTTGTTACGAAAACAATTATATTTATATTATCTTCATTCATGACTTAATATAAAGTAGGAAGTTGGCAGGGCCTCAAGCAGGCATTGCCCAACAATCTTCTTCATTTCGTGTAAGTTTCAGCGTGGCTGTATTACCACATATTAACGTCAGAAACGATATTAATAATTTAGATTAAAGCATTAAGCCGGTTTTGATATGCAGTAGCTTGTTGCTTAATGGCTTTCTGCGTTAGTGCACTAGCTCAGTTTGTTCATAATCCTACGGGACTGCCGTGTACAAGAAATTCTCTCGCGTGTTAGTCTGTACTTCTGAAGCCCTTAAAAGGAAATAACCCTCAGTGTTACTTACTCAAGCGGCATTTTTTTTGCAAATTTAACTGGTAATTCTGATTGCCCTCTCAGCGTACGTATCAAAATAATAAACTCATGGAAAAGCGTAGTCGTCCTTGATAAAACAAGAGTCTAAGAGCCAGCCATAAAATTCCCGGCCTTTTATTGAACCTGAATATTCGAATATTCACAAGAGCCCGTTATGACTCCTATCATGAGCGACATGAATCCAGTCCTCGCGCCCTCTTTCTTTAGGATGCATTTTAATATTATCCTTCCATTATCAAGGATGGCCTTGGTAATTGGGACAGAGATAGTCCTCGAAACCATTTGACACTGCTTTTAGCCCAAGAAAATGTTATTATAGTCTGGTAGTAGATTACCAACGATTCAGACGTCATTATCGTCCTGATGATGGAGGTAGTAAGGACATCTGAAACGCTATTAAACGTCTATCACATTTCGCGGCGTTGAAACTCAGAAGACGGGCATCTTGGTTCTGGATAATGTTCACAAGATTTTTGTTTCTCACGCGTTGCTATGTGGATGTAAAAGAAATATGTCCTCCAGAAACTTCTCCAAAAAGTCACATAATTTTGTTTAGTACTCACTGGCTGCGCTGTTTCTTGGTTTATATACAATTGTATAAGGTTTGAAACTTTCCAGACGGGTGGATGCAATGACGTTTTTCGTACAATCAGTCCTGTGAGAATGGCGTCGTGATCCAACGTCTCGGACACTATCTATGCCTTCATCATCAGGGTTGATGTATTACAACGCTTTCTTTCGCGTCTGAGTGTGAAACAGCTGTAACCTATTTTAATATACTTTCGGGTTTTTTTTTTGAAGAGGTTTGAAAGATCGCGGAAAACCGTAAGATAGCTTTTGAGGGCGAGATTTGACATTGGGTACTCCCGAATATGAAGCAATACTACGACTTCATCATGACGTATTTAATTGGTCTAGGCCTGCTTGCTACTTCTCAGTTCAAATTATTTTGTCTTCC